GTATGCGGAAAAGTTGTCTTTTTAGATGTAGAATCCAGTGCAATTTTTTATTTTGAGATCGGACAATATTTTCCGATCGCGCAACGAGCTCTAAGTTATGCATTAGCTCTTATGGGGAAAATCGTCAAAAACCATGAAAAAATGAAAATCAAAAATTTAGGCTTTGTACGTGATGTTTTTTGAAAATCTGTTTTCAGAAATGCAATCTACGCCAAAAAAGGCATCCGGTGATGTATCTCACTTGATATTGCAACCCATGGTTTAGGCGGTGTAGGCTGCATAATTTGATGACTTTTGTGCAATTTGATGCAATTTGGGCTTAAATTGATACCTGGCCGGGACTGAACCGCTCACTATAGTGTCAAGTGTGACACATCAGTGGATGCCTTTTATGGCGTAGATTGCATTTCTGAAAACAGATTTTCAAAAAACATCACATACAAAGCCCAAATTTTCGATTTTCATTTTTTCATGGTTTTGGACGATTTTTCCTATAAGAGCTAATGTATAACTTTGAACTCGTTGCGCGATCGGAAAATATTCTCCGATCTCAAAATAAAACATTGCACTGGATTCTACATCTAAAAAGACAACTTTTCCGCATACCCGCCATTTCAATATCTCAAATCCTTTTTTTACGCTACCCTCTATTGCGTACTAGTTGTTGCTGGGGGCTGGGGGCCGCCACCGTCGCCTGCGCGGGGGTCGTGCACAGGCGAGATCAGATCAGGACCCTGTTTGCTCGCCCCCTCCCCCTCCCCTCCCACCCCCGTGCAGTGCTAGCAGCCACCGGCTGGCCCGACCTCCGGCCTCCGGCCCCCGCGCGATTTCCCGATGCCCCCGGTGCGCGAGCGGTGCTACTCGTCCTTGCCGCGCTGCTACGTCGAGCGACTCCACTACTCACCGTATGCTCTCGGTGCGGGAGCGGGGCGACCAGTCCTTGGCGCAGGCCGGACAGGGACGCGCCGCCAGGTCGCGCGACTCGCGCCAGCGGTGCCAGCGGTGGTGCAGGGCGCGCCGCACCTCGGCGTTCAGGAAGCAGTACAGCAGCGCCACGCTCATGCCCTGCAACAAAGGGGGGGACAGGATTGGTTTGGTGCCCGTGATGCCATCACCCGGCCGTTCGCCCCGCCAGGTCGCACCCGCATCTTATGCAAGGTTGTTCTTTGGGCGGAGCAGCAGGAGGAGGGGGAAGGAAGCGGCTCCCAACGAACAGATTGTTTGCTGATGTGATCTCTATATCTCGCTCGCTCTCGCTCTCTCCGCAATTACTCCTTATTTGTACGGCGAATAGCAGTAGCCACCCTCCTGGGGGCAAGGGAGCGCTCGAGGGCGCTTGTCGCCACCGTTCTCCAGGACCTGGACCTCGAGACTGCGAGCAGGCCGCCCCGCGCTCGTGGCGCTGCGGCGCTCCTCGCGGATGGGGTGCAGCACGCACAGTCAAAGGTCCATAAAATTCCAGGCCATCAACTGCTCGGCCGGACCGAAAGTAGAGAGAGCGAGGGGGTGGAGGGAAGGGTACGATACGGGGCGAGGACAAGGTAGAGGGAAGGGAGGGGTGGGGTCGCGTGGAATGGCGGCTGCAGGTCGTGGAGGCCCATGCTACATTGCTACACCAGCCTCCCGCTCAGCCGGCCAGGCGAGCGGCCAGCACGGCAGCACGGCTCGACGCCCCCTTGGACAGCGCGGTGACGGTGCAGAGAGCTCACAGGAGCGTGAGAGAACGGAGGAGAGAGAGAGAGAGAGACCGAGAACGTAAAAGAGAAAGAGGAAAAGTGGAGAGTGATACTCACCTGAGTGGAGAGCAGGAAGGCCCTGACAGCGGCGTACACCGCTGAGCCCGTGGCCTCGGCCGGGGGCGCGGCGATGGTGAGGACGTAGGTCATGCCCAGCAGCGGGATGAGGACAAGCAGCGCCTTGGTGGCCTTGCGCGACTGCTGGGTCTCCAGCGAGGTGGCGGAGCGCAGCTTGGTGATGAGCACCTGCGCAGGACAAGAGTGGTGTCCCCTATAGCAGCTAAAAGGTTAGAGGCGAAAAATTTAGCTATCCCGCTCAACATAACTATTTTTTAGATACATAGCTTAAAAATAATTCGTTATCCTTCAGGTATAGCTATTGGTTTAGCTCTACAGCTGGTCCCTTTTGTTTTTCTTTCGTGAAGGACGACGCGGCCGCGCGGCCGGGGCAGGGTCAAAGCGACCGGAAGCGGAAGCTCATCAAGAACGAGACGCGGAGTGATAGTAGAAAACGAATAAAACAGTAGGGATTTCATCGACGGCCGTTTGCTCTAGCTAACGAGCGGGCCCTCCCACGACCCCCTCCCTCCCCTTCCTCCGGGAGTCACACCACCACCACCGCCGACGCTCCCCCCCCCTTCCCTTCCCCTTGCTACACCGTTGCTTGCCCGACCAACGCAAACAAAGGACGAACCCACAACTTTTCCAATTATTCCCCCCCTCCGGCCCCTCACACACCATCGCCGTGTGCTCGACCATTGCTCAACACATTCTTTCGGTTTTGTTTATCGTGCCCGCCCAACACCACCAGGTGGTGTGTGTAGTCGGGTCGGAAGTGCGGACGCGTCCGGGCGATGCCCCCCTCCCCCCGACTGCTACCCCCAACCCCTC